GTTCCTTTGCGCCACGGCAAAAAGATGTCTTCGCTAACTGCCGTGGCCATGCAATGCCCTGGCATCAGCATCAGCGTACCGCAGCGTGATCGAGTGCAGATCCGGCACCAAGTGCATGACCGCGCCGTGGGTCACAGACTCGTTGCGGCAATGAGCGGATTCTGGTCCACACGCAGCCGGAAGCCCGAGCTGGGTGCAGCGCACAATGAGGTCAGCGGAAGCAGCCTTTACGACTGGCACAGCTATGTGGGGTGTGCCAGCCATGACGGCCATAATGCCCTGAAGTGGTCGCATCAGACCCTGTTTGCGGATACCGAGCTTTTAGAAGGAGTTTACGTCGCAGTGAGTGCCATCCGTAATTCTTATTACACTTGCACAGATGCCCTGGGCAGTTGGCTGGTGCAGTCTGTGCAACCTAGGCATGCGGGCATTTTGCCTCCTCAGGACGACTTGTTTGCGTTGTGGTGCTGTCTTGGCGTGGAGCCTGAACTGGCGCACAAGCTGGCAGAGATGCGTTTGCTCTGGCGTGATGGCCGCCTGCTGATCCTGCAGGAAGTCTTCCATGCGTCGGAGTTTCTAGAAACCGTGTCGGCGTGCTTGCTGGCCCTATGGCGCTTCCCCTCCTTCACGACATCCAGATGGTGCACTGTGGGTGCTTCTTGCCGAGCTTTAGCTGCCGGCCTCCTGAGCGGCTACGATGGCTTGTTGGAGTTCATGCGACAGAAGGGGCTTTTGGGAGATTATTTGTGGAACGGCTTCAAACGTTTGAACGCCAGAGCCGTAGAATTTGTTTTCGTGGTTGGGCCAACAGCATACTTGCCGGAAGGGTTTCTCGCACACTTGCTGCAAGATGCCCGCGTCGCTGTGCAGTACCAGAAACTCAAGGAGGACATCCAATCGGAGTACAGCTTCTTGGAGCATCTGCCTGAACGAGTGTGGGCACTCCTCGCGGAGCGTGTTGAACTGTCAGCCGACATGCTTAGAAACAAAGTCATTGCTGGTGCTACCATCTCATGGGCTTTCATCGAGTGGAAGGTCCTACAGGTAGCCTCTGCTTTGCCTTGGAGCCTGTGCCGTGGTGACGTCCGTGCTAACATAGAACAGCTGTCAGATCGCCCTGTTGCACCAGCAGAGCCAACAGCCCGCAAGATCTATCAGTTGGCCAGAGGAGGTGTGAACATGGTGCGGCTACAGAGAGCTGTCGCCCTGCTTGGCCAGGCCTCGTGGACGAGTTTCTTTACTGAGCGCCAACATGCATCCACCAGCTTAGTCAAGCGGCACCATCCAGATATAGGGTGTGATCTCTTGGCTGGTCGTGCATTTCTGCACACCTTCCGGCAGATGCTGCCGCAGCGGTCTCCGGAAGAAGTTGAGCGAGAACGATTGCAGGCCAAGCTTTTCAAGGCTCTGAAGGGCAACCCCAACAAGATCCGAGGACGGCAGATGTTCTTGGCATACACGATGGCAAAGGCAACACGCCGAGAAGAAGAGAGACCTGAACGGCCTAGATACAAGCGCCCTCGCATCATGCAGCTTCATGGTGAGCAGTGGAATCGGTTGACACCGGCGGCGAGGCAACGCTATGAGACGGCAGCTTCCGTGCAGAGGGATGTCGCTCAAGAGATGCAGCGCAGGGAAGTCCAAGTGCTCCAAGAGCAGCTGCAGGAAGTGAACCAACGCAAGGCGACGAAAGATACAGAAGCTGGCAGCTCAATGGTTATCAGTGCTTGTGTTCTTTCAGATGCCAACCTGCAGAGACTGCAGGAGCTGACGCTTCGGAAGGAAGTGTCAGGCGCAGGGCTGCAGGCGCTGCGTGCGCGAGCTCTCACATGCCCCAAGCCCCTTCCAGAAGCCGAGATGGATCGCTTGGTCTCAGCTTCTCATGTTGGCTTCCCAGACATGGTTCCCGACATGCCCACGACTGCGAAACTGCTGTGCACCATGCGGGTGGCTTTCAGCGAGGCCGTATTTTGGTTGCCTGGCTGTCCTCGTGGAGAATGGTTTCGATTTGTTTTTGCGGTGCAGAACCCAAAGCTTCTCGTCTTGCTTCCCTTGGAGCCTGACCTTGCTAGCTTTGCGGGGAGGGTCGGGAACCTCAGTGAGTTCGACGAATTGTGGCAGGCCCACTTCGAGTGTACATGGTCCTTTGACTCCGGCAGCTTCGTTTACGCAGACATCTTCGAAGGAGTCGCACTGGCATCAATCGGAGTGGTCATGCACAGCATCTTCACAGGGCCAGGTCTTCTGCAGTCCCGAGGCGTGCTGCAGCCACTGGAGCCACTTCTGACTGCGATGCGTGGGGACATGGCCGAAGCTAAGAGCACTTCGAGGACAACTGCAGAGCCAACCCGTGCTGCAGACTCATCCGTCTCGGGCAAGTACCCGTGGCTGGTGGCTGTGGTTGGCTCAGCTGCTACGCCGGCTTCTGGTGCAGGCCTGCGGATAGAGATTATCTTGTTGAAAATTCTGTAAAGCTCGAAAGTTCGGTTTTCAGGTAGCAGGCACTTAGGATCACGGCTTTGTACCCCAACGAGGAGAATCATGTGTCCAAACCGAAAAAACTGCTCTAAATTAGGAGGGCGCATTAGATAACTAGACTGCAATGCAGTGACTTGAGTTCACCTTCAATCTAAGCGGTAGCTCGCAAGAAAACAATACTTGATCTTAGTTGGTAGACCCATAAGTAGCATCATTTCTATCAGTCTTAGATTCAGAGGCCCACATAGCTTTGGGCAATATTCTGGACTTTTATCAGTCATGTCATATTTGGCTGCCCACATAACTTGGGCGAATGTTTGTTTGTCAAACAAACCTCAAGAA